TGTCCATAACTATCTCAGTTGTGAATACCATTTATATCTTATAAGGGACCGACAATGTAATCTTCTGTGTGACTACTAAAACACCACATTGTCTACAATATAAGATAATTGGACATTTAGCATACAAGCAATCATAAAGAATGCAACAATGTGAAAATATTTATTTCAGTCAAATGGGAAATCGAATAAATACAATCCAAAAGCTCACATAAAAGTTTGCTTTACTGTATACCCCAACAACCACCACCGCCAAGGCCCCTTTTTCAATCTCTGAATACCTCCTCTCCGCCCCTTGCATCGCCTTACTCACGTAATAGATCGGAAATTGGGTTGTCCCTTCCTCCCGCAATAATACCGAGCTCACTGCCGTCTCACCAATGGATACATATAACACCAGGTCCTCCCCTTGCACCGGTTTTGCAAATAGTGGTAGGTCGACCAACACCCTCTTCAACTCCTCGAATGACTTCTGGGCTTCTTCTGTCCACTGGAATTTCGAGCTCTTCCTGAGTGTCTTAAATAGGGGCTCACTCTTCTCAGCTACCTTAGAAATAAAGCGGCTCAGGCCTGCTATTCGACCAGTTAGGATCTGCACCTCCTTCACCTTCGTGGGGGGCTTCATCTCGATCACCGCCCTCACCTTCTCCGGGTTGACCTCGATTCCCCTCGTCATGACCATGTAGCCCAAAAATTTCCCAGATTTGACCCCGAATGAGCACTTAGCAGGATTCAGCTTCATCCCATACTTCCGGAGGGTCATGAATGTTTCTTTCAAGTCGTTTACATGGTCAATTTCCTCTTTGCTCTTTACCAGCATATCATCTACATATACCTCCATGTTCCTTCCCAGCTGATCCTTAAAAATTTTATCCACCAACCTCTGATATGTCGCCCCTGCATTCTTTAGACCGAAGGGCATCACCACATAGCAGTATGTTCCACGGCTTGTTACAAAGCTGACCCTTTTCCAATCCTCTCGAGCCAGTGAGATCTGATGTAACCCTGGGATGCATCCATCAAACTGAGTAGCTCACACCCAGCTGTGGAGTCGAACAGCTGGTCGATCCTGGGAAGCGGATATAAATCCTTCGGGCATGCCTTGTTCAAATCTCGAAAATCTATGCACATCCGCCATTTCCCCTCTGACTTTGAGACCATAACCGTGTTCGATAGCCACTCTGGGAACTAGATCTCCTTTATGTGACCTGCCACCAAGAGTTTTTCTACCTCCACCTCGATTACTCTATCCATCTCTGCCCCGTGGTGTCTCCTTTTTTGCTTCACCGGTCTTACCGTGAGGTCGATGTTCAACCGGTGCTTAATAACCTCGGCCTTGATGCCGGTCAACTCCTCCGTCGAGTATGCGAACACATCCGCAAAATCTCTTATCACCTTAATTAGCCTCGATTTCACCGGCTCCTCCAATTCCTTCCCGATCTGGAACTTCCTTTCTTCGCATCCCTCGACCATCTGTATTTCCTCCACTTCGCCACCCAGCTGCATTTCGGCATTCTCCTTCCCCTTCTCTGGCTTATGTCTTTCCTCCTTCGACCTCGACCCTCCCGGTCGATTAACTTTCTCCCCCTTGGGGTGCATCTGCCTCCTCGCTAATTGCTTGTTGTTGCTCACAGTGGTCTGGTAGCAGCTTCTCGAGGTAAGTTGATCCCCAGCGATCTCACCAACGTTTTCGCCCACCGGATATTTGATCGTCATGTGGTACGTGGATACGACCGCCTGGAACGCGTTCAGGCTCGTTCTCCCCATTATGATGTTGTAGGATGACTCAGCTCCTACGACCACAAATCTCACCATTCAAACCTTCCGAGTCGCTCCTTTTCCCAGTGCTACAGATAGAGTCACTTCTCCCATTGGCATAACCTCCCCACCGTTAAAACCATACAAGGCCGTGGCCACCGGCTTCAGCTCCACATTCAACTCCCGATTGATTTGCACAAAGCAATCATAAAACATGACATCGACCGAACTCCCTGTGTCTATAAACACCCTTTTTACGTCAAAACCTGCAACTTCAGCCGTAATTACCAAGGCATCATTGTGAGGCACCACTACCCCTGCTGCATCCTCTGCTCGAAAACTGATTTCTGGTACTCGGGCCGTGATACTCACCTCTTCCCTCTTCCTTTTCATTGCTCGCACATGGCCTCTCCTTGCATTATTCGAATCCCCGTCCGTCGGTCCTCCTGAAATCATATATATCGTGCCTCTCTTCACTTGGCCTCCATCTCCTTCTCTTTCCCGCTCCCTACTTACTCGCCTCCTTTTCCCCTCATCTCTTTTTCGACCATCTCGACAACCTCGTGCATCCTCATCATCATCTTCCTCGCTCCTCTCCACCGAGTCCTCCCGACACCTTCTCATCTCCTTCCTCCTCCCCTTATCCTGATAGACAAACTCCTTGAGATGCCCTGCTCGAATAAGGTGCTCAATCTCGTCCTTGAGATGCCGACAATCCTCAATAGTATGGCCATAGTCTTTGTGGAAACGGCAATATCTCCTCGACTTCGGTTGGGTTGGCCCTTCGAACCTCAACCTTGGCCACGTCACATCTTTCCCATCTATCCCTTTCTCCATGGCCATCAAAACCTCAGCTACCTTCGCGTTCAACGGGGTGTAATCATGGAATCTTTTCGAGAAATTCCTACCTCTCTATCTAATAGGCCGGTCCTTCCATCTGTCCTCTCGTCCCCGATCCTGCTTAGCTCGCCCCTCCCTCCTGGGTGAGGCTTTCCTTTTAGGCGAAACTGCTTTCTCCTTCCTCGACTCCCCTCGACCTAACTCCTCTAGTTTTGCAAACTCTGCCTTGGTCTCCTCGAGATTAATATATTTCCTACACCTCCTCAACACCTCATCATACGTATGAGCAGGAGTCTTAGCCAGAGAAGTTCGACACGATCCTGCCCGCAAACTTCTAATCAATCCTCCCGCCTTGACCTCATCGACCGCTGATGGAATCTCCAAACAAGCCTGATTGTATCGAGCGACATATTTACGCAGTGACTCCTTCTCGCCTTGTCTCATCGCCATCAGCGTCAAATACGTTTTCTCCTGAGCCACCGCGCTCGAATATTGATTTGTCAACTTCTCCGCAAAATCCTCGAAGTCCACAATCGAGCCTGGGGGGAGCTGTTGGAACCAGTCG